AAAAGCACCGCTCCCTCCTCCATGCGGCAATACCTGCTGTCCCACGCCGACACGGCAATCCAGACACCCCCGGACCCCCAACCTGAATGGGTGCAACTTATAAGGGCACTCCCGACGAAACAAGACCTCAAGGAGGCCAACACTGAATTGCGGTCCTCCATTACAGCGGAGCTGCACTCCCTCAGGGAAGACATTCAAGGCCTCCACACCAAGGTGGCTCAGCTGGAAGCGGACTGCGACCACCTGACATCCACGCAGTCTGCCACAACGACCACCATACAGAGCCATACTGCCCTGATGCAACAAATGGCCCTACACCTGGAAGACCTAGACAATCATGGCCGACGCCAGAACATTCGGGTGAGAGGCATCCCAGAGGACACTGACCAATCCACGCCGATCCTGGACACTCTCAAGGAACTGTTTAATAAAATATTGGGCCGCCCAGCACCCACCAAGATTGATTTTATCAGGGCCCACCGGGCACTAAGACCGAGAGGCCCGCCGGAGGCTCCCCCTAGAGACGCGGTCTGCTGCCTGGCAGACTTCCAACTTAAGGAGGACATATTGCGCAAAGCACGCGGACTGGAGCGGATCGTACTAAACGGCGTGGAGGTACAGCTTTACCCCGACCTCTCCCCGGCCACCTTGGCCTATCGGAGGGCGATGAGGCCCCTTACCAGAGCTCTCCAAACACGAAAGATTCGATACCGATGGAATTTCCCGACTGGGCTGCAGGCCATCACTGCCGAGGGCACTTTCACAGTCCGTCACCCTGAGGACCTAACCAACTTAATTGTGGAGCTGAACCTCCCTCCCATCCACATGACATGGCCGGACCCTACTGCTTTTTACATGATGAACTCTGACACACGAGGACCCCCATCCTTGCCCCGCAGAAGCAGGGGATCCCGCCAGCAAGCCACCAGGCTCTCAGGGACTGCGGCATAAGTGACCTGGAGATGACCGCAGCACATATCCGCAAGTAGCGCCCCTTGGGTCACTTTCCTCATCCGAGACTCTAACCCTTTGCTATCCTTCAGAGGCCTACATTGGCCGCTATGTGGTAATTGACAAATGTGGAAGGGGGGGCTGGGGGCTAGGGGAATGTCGGGGTATCCATTTACTGCACTGATTT